GCAGGGGAGGGTCAGAGAGAGAGGGAGTCACAGACTGAAACAGGCTCCAGGCTCTGAGCTGGCAGTCAGCACAGAGCCCGACGCGGGGCCCGAACCCACGAACCGTGAGATCATGACCTAAGCGAAAGTCAGATGCTTGACCGACTAAGCCACCCAGGTGCCCCTTTTTACCTGTATTTTAAAAGATGTTTAGAAGACAGAAGCATAGCATGGTTAGGATTCTCTTTTATCTTCCTACTACTCTTATGAAATTTTAAGGAACAGCTTTCTTGAGTTATAATTGATATAAAATAAACTATACATATTTAAAGTATACAGGCTGCTGGGGCAGCTGGGTGGCTTAGTCGGTTGAGCGTCCGACTTTCGCTTAGGTCATGATCTCGCGGTTCGTGGGTTCGAGCTCCGCGTCGGGCTCTGTGCTGACTGCCAGCTCAGAGCCTGGAGCCTGTTTCAGTCTGTGACTCCCTCTCTCTCTGACCCTCCCCTGTTCACGCTGTCTCTCTCTCTCTCTCCTAGAAATAAGTAAAACATTTCAAAAAAAGTAAAAGTATACAGGCTGCTAAGTTGACATCCAGTAAAGTGAACATATTTACAGACTCTTCTGAGTTTTGACATATGTATATACCCACGAAACCACCAGCAGAAACTCCCCAAAGTTTCCTCCTATACCTTGGTAATCTCTCCTTCATGCCCTTCCTTACATTTGTTCACCCCAGGCAATCGGTTTTCTACTTTCTGTCACTATCGATTAATTTATATCTTCTAGATTTTTAAAAATGGAATCCTATCATATGTACCGTATTTTTTCCCCCTTTTTTAGCTTGGTTTGTTTCATAATCATTTTAAGATCCATTCATGTTGCAGTCTATATTCTTTATATATATATGTATATATGTATGTATGTGTTTTTAAAAAGAGAACATCAACTTCACGCTAGAGGTGGAAAATAGTATAGGGAGGAGGTACAAACCAGGCTTCTAAGTGTGTTCAAGTGTTTTATTAAAATTAAAAAGATAGAAAGTTAAATATGAAAAAAATGTTATACTTTAATAAAACTGAATGGTGGGTACATAGATATTTGCTATTTTCTATTTCTGTCTCTTGGTATGCAGTATTTTGTATTTAAATGACATAATGTAATAATAGTGAAGCAGGTTTCAGAGTGAGATTGCTGATAGGAAAATCCTATTATAGCCAGCTTCTCTTTACTCTCATGATAAAAGAAAGGACTTGTGACATTTTTAGCAGTAATATTATGTACTAAATACTGGAACACAGGAGAGATGGATTGTGTTGTTCAGGCCATTTTCAGGGCAGGTTAGGGTAGAAGGGATTGTAGTATTTGAGGGAGATCATATTCCTTCTCTGGTCATTTTACAAAACGGTTCATGATCATCTGACTTTTCCCATTGTCAAACTATGGAAAGAATTGTTTTTAGAACCCTCTTTATTTGTTCCTTGTGACACATTTCTGTCATCAAAGGATTTGCTGTTGATGAGGTTCAGAAACTGCCTCCTGTTTAGATAATTGAGTGGTTCTGAACAGGCAGGTAGCCTCCTTTCTTAAATGCCAGTATTTGTGTTTCTTCTATTTTGTTATTTTTCATTATTGTCTTACCCCCTCACCTTCTTTAGGTCCTCCCAGTCCCTTCACCCTTCAACTGGATAATTTTTTTATCGTTTATTTATTTTTGAGAAGAGAGAGACAGAACATGAGTGGGGGCGGGGCAGAGAGAGAGAGGGAGACACAGAATCCAAAACAGGCTCCAAGCTCTGAGCTGTCTGCACAGAGCCTGATGCGGGGCTCGAGCCCATGAACTGTGAGATCATGACCTGAGCCGAAGTCGGACGCTTAACAGAATGAGCCGCCCAGACGCCCCTGGATAATTCTTCTTTATCCTCTAGTGTCCGCTTATATGTCCCCTGGCCAGGAAGCTTTTCTGGTGCACAGGCTGAGTCCCTGAGGAGATGGTCTTTTGTGTGCTCATTTGAACTCTCTTTGGGGCTGAGTTTTTATTTTTCTGAGCAGGGAGCACAGTTGGATATACAGCACATTTCAGGCATTACAGTATTAAATAAGTTAGACATAATCTCTGTTTTCATGGAGCCATAAATTTTGACCCCTCTCACGGGGAAACGTGAAATGGCATGGGAGTACTGGCAGAGGGGCCTCCCCTGAGACTGGGCATGTGCTCCAGGGGAGCTTCCTGGTTGGAGGACCTCAGGGCTGACTCTAGTCATTGAGAGTAAGCATGAAGCGGTATGGCACTAAGGCATGAAGGACACCCAAGAAAGGAAGAAAAATGGTTAACGGAGAAACCTCATTTCTACTGAGAAATGGTAGTGTGCCGTCAGAAAAATTAAACTTAGTTTCTCTTCCCTCCACTTTGAAATCTTAAACAGGTCATTTAGTGTTTTAGGCCTCAGTCTTCTAATTCTTAAAAGCCAAGATAATAATACTTGTTTCCCATGAGATTAAAGTAAAATAATATACATGAAAGGTGCCCTGTAAGAAGAAAATGGTAAGTAAATATGTTAATATGAAAAATAATGAAGGACTAAGGAAGGGAAGAAAAAATAAGACAAGGCAGTAAAAACAGGGATTTTATGAGGAACTATTATACAGTCAAAGAACAGTAGTTATGGTTGATTTGTCTTTATTTTGTCTAATGAAATGAGATGTGGCTTTGTACCAGACTGGCATAACAGTCATAGCAGGGTTGATGGAAGCCTTAATGTCCTCTCTGAACACCAGCAAATACTTTAAAAAGAAAACAATGTTCCAGACCCCCTGTAGATTATAAAACCTTCCTGGAAGCCTTGGAGATATATATTTCTCCACATCTGGTGTTGGATTTCCTTTATGTTATTATTTTTAATATTTGTATTTGAATATCATTCAAAATTGTGCTTTTAGGCCAGAGTTTCCAGGTAGCAGTTTTCCATATAAAAAAAAAATTCCTGCGGTGTATGATTTTTCCAATTGGTACTTAACTTTTGAAACAGCAGTGAAGTTGTAACTTCTTTATTTCAGCCAAACATTTGCTTTATTTTTAAAATGCTATTGGCCTTGACTTTTAGGTTTTAGATTTCATTACAGATCAGAGTTACTGTTTTATAAATCTTCAAATTTACTTTTTGTTTATAAGACTGAGTTGGTAGAATTGTGGAATTGCATTGAAGTAAAAAATCCATCTGCTTGGAGAATACATGTTCAATGCACTAAATAAAGTCTGTGATAAAAGCGTTTTATTTTTTCTTTCCTTCCAGCCATGTGATCATTTTTAACCCCATTCACACAGTAGCCAAATACCCTGAAAATCCTTAAAGATGCATTTTTGCCTAGCCCGAGTATATCTTTCCTATGCATATTGCCAAGGGAGCCGTCGCTGGGAGTGAGCTTGTCCCCAGGTGTGTTTACACATCTGTAACATCTGCTAAGATGCTTCTCAGGGTAGACGTTAAGCAGGCTGGGAAGGCAAGGCAAACCAAACCCAGGCCCCTTTTCTGAACTACAAGGGTGAGGGGTTATGTATTAGACAAAACAAGTGCTGTGTGCTCTCCTAGTGTTCACACTGAATCTTAACAACTCCCTCAAGACTCTTGGCTGCTTCTTTTGCACTCTGAACAGAAATGCTATGTTCTTACATCAGGCATTTCGGAGGGTCATTTAATTTTGGGGAGTGGATGGTCCGCTAGTTTCTGAAAAATACCTTGGTAAACCTGTACAGGTATAAACAACCTGCGTGTCATTTAGATTAATAATAGCTTTAATTGGGGCGCCTGGGTAGCTTAGTTGGTTAAGCGTCCGACTTTCACTTAGGTCATGATCTTGCGGTTCGTGGGTTTGAGCCCCGCGTCGGGCTCTGTGCTGACTGCCAGCTCAGAGCCTGGAGCCTATTTCAGAGTCTGTGTCTCTCTCTCTCTCTGACCCTCCCCTGCTCATGCTGTCTCTCTCTCTCTCTCTCTCCTAGAAATAAATAAAAATTTAAAAAAATAATAGCTTTAATTATAATGACAGTGATAGAGAAAATAATAGTGTCAAATGCTGCACAAGGATCTTTTTGTTTTGACCTGCATCTATGATTATAATCTCCATTTCTTTTAGACAACGGAACCTAGACACAGAAAAATGCAGTACTATGAAGTTCACATAGTTGGGTATTTTTTGAACCTAGGTTTTAGCCCAATCAGCCTGACTTCCAGGCCCATCTTAGAGGTTAGCTCTTTTGAAAAGACAGAA